GAAGACCTAAGGACATAAGCATCTCCTAAAGTTTTCAAAACAGTGTCCACTAAAAATTATTTTGTTAAAGGGGGAAAGCTCTCAGACTTATTCTCGTATCTCTTCCTGAAAATTTCCATTTTCAAATAATAATAATATTATTTATTGAATGAATACCATATTCTAGGTATTATATAGCATGTCCTTTTTTAGTAAAATTACTATATTTTATTTTTATAACTCATGTGTAGTATAATCATTTTTACCCCTTCTTTATATTTAGAAAATTAAAACATAAAAAGAAAAAGATTACAAGCTAATAAATGTTTCAGATATGGACATAGTCTGTTTTGTAGCCCACCTCTTAACACCAAAACGTGCTAGTTCAAAGCCAAAACAGAAGGTAAATAGATGAAAGTCTTAAAATCATATTGTGCTCAAAATAATACCTAATATTTACCAAAGCAACAAATGAATTATATTGCTTGCCATATATTCAGGAATATGCCTTAAAGCATTTAAATAAAAATAAAGTACTTTCCTTTATCCAAGAAATGCTTCTCAGGTTCAAGATGACATAAAAGGTTTGGCTGTCACTGGAAATTAATCACTTATTTCACAAAAGCAAAAAGGTATAAATCTTGTATCTTATCAGTTTTTAGAAGGCTAAACTAAGAAATGTGCTTTACTCATATAGGATTGCTGAGACCCAGAACTCTTGAGAACCTTAACATCATTTAAATTACTTATTGTAATCTTAGGATTATATTAGTAGTTATTTAATATTTTTTCTTTCAATAATAAAAGAGTAAAAATACTTCAAGTTGGCCTTGGTATTTAAAACTTGGTTAATAAGATAAAAAATAAAATTCACAAAAGGAGATAGAAAAGATTTATAGACATAGGAAGTTAAACATTATTATAACCAACTTAAAGCAATAACACAATTCATCTTTATAGTTTGGCAAATATACAAATATACAGAAATATCAAATAATAAATATGTAATAACAAAATGCCAAGTAATAATAATAAAGATGTAATAATGAGCGTATACCCTCTCAACAGCTGCAAGATGTGTAAGTGGGTAGGATATTTCTGAAGGTCACTGGCAATATGTTGTAAGAACCTGAACTATGGACATTCTTCTCAAAACAATAATTTCATGACTAGAAAATTATCCTAAGGAAATGCATGTGGACGCCATTATAAACTTAGCCATAAAGAACTCTACAGTAGCATTGTTAAAATAACAACAACAAAAAAGTAGTTTGTCAAATAATAGGAAATTGATTAAGTATATAACTGTAAATAAATAAATGCAATGATACGTAGTCATTAAAATAATCACAAGAATGTTTAATGGTGATATGGTTGGATTTCTTTCCCTTAAAATTTATGCGGTAACTTTACACCTAATGAGGCCGGTTGAGTTGGGCGGTGGAACTAGTGGGAGGGGCTTGGGACATGGCAGTTGAGTCCTCACGAATAATTAACGCATTGTCAGAGGAAGGGGCTAGTTCTCACTAGTTCCTGGAGAAAAAGATCCTTATAAAAACAAATTAGTTGCTCACAGGTCTCTCTCATTATTGGTGCCTGCTCTGCTTTTGGCTTTCCTGGTGGTGGTGTGACACAGCACTGGATGCCAGGCCTCTCCAGACGCCTCTGGACTTTCCAGCCACCAGAACTGTGAGCCAAATAACCTCCCTTCTTTACAAATCATCCAGTGTCAGATGTTCTGTTATAGCAATACAAATGAACTAAGACAAATGACATGTAAATATGTCTACTATTTAATTAAAAAATTGAATTTTGAGGTATAGGTGTGAGTCCCAAATCCCAAGAGGAAAATGTCCATCCCCCAAAGGGGTCTTTTCTCACCTCTCTCTCCCCCTCTCTCTCTCTCTCTCTCTCTCTGTGTCTTTCTCCAGTAGGCACATGCATCCTACAGTAACCACCCCAAAATGATAATGTTCACATTTTGTTAATAAACCTATAGATACGCAGAAAAAAATGAAAGGTTTTACATTAAAATGGTAGCTGTCATTATATTTAGCTAAGGGGGTTATAGGTGATTTTTACTTCTACCATTTCATTGAGTCATACTTTTATTTTTTAATGAAAACAATGAAACTGTATTATAAGCTAAAGTTAATATTGATTATAATAGTTGAATTTGATTCTATGAAAAGTAAATGAGCTAGGCGTCCCCATTTTTGCTGTATCATTGTGCTGCTTTATATGTACGGTTTTTGACTAATAAAGAGGCAGCCCTGCTGTGTCCTCCCCAACTGCCATCACATTTTATTCCACAAGATCTTACTCCACGGTTACACCTGGATGCCACTGAGAATCATTCTGGATGAGTGAATGATTTAAAATTATGCATAAGGGCAAATCAGAACTGAAGCCTAAATAATACCTAAAGTATTAAGACACTGTAACCCATACTGAAAGAAACTTCAAATGTAAAACAAGTAAAACTTATTTTACTCACAGAGACTTTGTCCTTTGCCTGTTTAAATACACTGGGAGCCTGAGTTGATTCACCACCTGCTGCTGTTGAAAAGAAAAAACACAAACAACCCCATACTTAGTGGCTAAAAACCACATAAATGCATTTTTTCCAATACCTTTTGGATACTTGGCTGTGTGAATAGACTAATACAAGTAAAATTCTGCTTAGTTTGAGACTCCAATTCAGTAACTGAAGAAACCTGGTTAGAATAACATTGCATGCGGCTGCAACTGTTGTGTGTGCTGATTAATAGAACCCAGTGTCTACCAAAGCATAGGTGAGCACACCAAATCATCTTCTATTGGCTACCAGCGTATTTTTGTACTACTATAACATGAGGCTAGATCCTTTAAAACAGAAGTTACAGAGTAGCAATGTCAAAGCTGCAGCATTTAAGAAAAGCAGAGCTGACTGGATCTTTGGACTAGTATGATGTATGAGAAGTAGGAGAATGCTCAGAGAGACTTCCAAACCTTCTTTTTCTGGAAGCCACTGGCATCCCTACAGATATTTTTGTATTTTACATTTCAAACTGTTACGGTCAGCCAACCCCGTTTCCCTTGTACCCCTTCATTGTACAATACGAAAGATATACAAGTTCAATGTGAAAAGGCGCCACATGGGAAGGGGGAAAAATGCTTATCAAGGAAAGAAAACAAGAGAATTCTAAGTTCAATAAATATAGAAAATGTTCTACACATGCATTTCCTGTATGAAAGTATGACCACATCTGTTACTGCTGTTTCTCTTGCTATTTTATACTTCTGTTTTCAATTTTGAACTCCATATTTTAGCCTATTTTCCATCGATGACTTACCTGATTTGATATAAATATCTCATGATTTGAAACAATCCTTTATGTTTTAGAAAACCACCTGTATTTGAAACTATGCTCAGAAAATAAAGTATTCGAGTTTTTGTGTTTAATTTTCTCCTTAATTTTCTTTCCTAAGAAAAATTCTCAGGAAAAATACTTGTTTTTATAAGCCCTCTGAATGAGTTTCAAAAAGGTTTCTCATGCTAGTGTGACTTTAACACAAAAATAATAACAACTACAATATACTTTATGCTGAGTAGGGCTGGCTAGAAAGATTATTCAGATCTATAACTGATTTTTTTTTTAAGGTTTTTGCCATAGGGCACATGCACTTGCTGGAGAGAGACAAGAGAAAGACAGGGAGCGGGAAAGTGAGAAATCGCCCCCAAGGGAGGGCCAAACAGCAATCTCTTCTCCTTCATTCTCCTTCCTGGAGTTTGGGCACTTACACACACATGCCTGGTGTGACTTTCAAGCCACTGGGTCTGGGACTTGAACCGCGGTCAACCATATGGGAGTCCAGCACCTTAACCACCACACCACCTCCTAGCCCCCTGATATTTTTAAAGAAGCAGTGAAATGGTGACTTCCTGCTGCTTTGTTTTATAACATAAATTCCTGTGATATCTATATCTATATCTATATTTATTTTTTGCCTCAAACCAATGACTCTGTGTTTGGTAAATGCTTTTTGCTATAGTATCTTAATATTTAAGTAAGATAAGAAAAGATCCTAATTAAGATAAAGACATTAAGCTTTCTTTAGAGAATGAGTAAAAAGGATAATTTATTTTAAATATGGCACATTGGGTGTCAGTAACATGTAGATATGTTACAAAACTATTCCACATTTTTTTTTTCTGAAATTCTACAGTCCTGATGACATTTCTTTCTTTTGGACCCAAAGACATTCTGCTTATCAAAATATTTGTCTCACTAGAAAAAACGTTCTAAGTCTCTGAGACTAAAAACCTGAGAAAGTGAACTAAAATATATGATTTAGAGATGCCATGTTAATTTCTAGCTCCTAACTTACAGAAATTCCTCATTCTGAACCTATATCAAGTTTTATGTGTAAATAAGTCTTCCACTTCCAAATTCGGCCTTAGTTGTTCTTGAAGGAAAACAAATAGTAAATAGTACATAAGGAATACAAATAAAAAATACTTGGAACTTTTAGTGGTTACTATAAAACCTTCAACTCCTTTGATTTTTTTTTCCATAAAGACTAATGCTTCTTTTAACCTTCAAGATTATCTAAAAATTTAAAAATTAGTACTTATGATATTTAACAAAAAGGAACACATTTCTTCCCTGTTTATCAGTTTAATATTTGGTGCACTACAAATGTGTCACTTAAATCCTACAAAATATTTTGTAAATTAAGATTATCTTTGTATAATTATATATATATATTTGCATTAAAATTTAGAAATGAAGTTTGTATAATAAATATTTGTATAGGTTTTTATTATGATTTCAAACATGATTTATTTTTGCATTCCATTACCTTTTAAAATTTTAAAAATTATGCATGTTTGGAGAAGACAAAAAAATAAGTAGGTAATGAAGAGAAATAAACACTAAGTTTATTTCTAACTTATGTACTTCTTCAGGGGGAAGAAGTATCATCATAGAATTTTGAATACTGAATTATTTAGGAAAATTTAGTAGTTTGGATCTAACACATTTAAGAAAATCCCAATGATAAAACGTCAGCTAAAAGATGTAACGGAATAGATTGAAAGTCTTGTTAATTTGGACATGAGAAATAAAATTTAATGGATTACCACACAATTTCCTCCCCCCCCCCCTTTTTTTTTTTTCCATTTAAGCAAAGTAATTTTGCAAACCACAAGTCTACTCCAAATTTGTTTCTCATTTTCAGTCTCTAAGTCACTATGCATTCTTGGTGGTTTTCAGTAAATTCATTAACATCAGTAACAGATTTGGCAGTTACAATGTAGAAAATAGGACAAATACGTATGAGTTTAAGCATGAGGGAGATAAATAAGCAAAATAATGAGAATGCATACCACTGTTAAATTCATCGCCATCGTCTAACCAAACACACAGAATGAAAATAGGAGTCCCCAGAACGTGACACTACCGCACAATGCCAAGATACAATCACGCACGTTATGTCTGAGCATGACAAAGAAACAGATGATCATGACCTCTTCTGCAGGGAGGGAAAAAAAAAAAAAGAATAATGATACAAGACACTTAATAGCAAAATTGTTCATGACTGCTGAGATTCTTGGAAGAAAAACAAAATGAAGAAGCTGCTACAGCAATGAGATTAAAAGAAAAAAAAAAATACATGTCTATGTTTGCCAGCCACATTGCAGAATTGAACAAGTCACCTGTCGTTTTCCGCTTAACACAGGAGAGATGAGTTGGTCTAGTATATTTGATAGCAGGTTTTAAAATGAATTTCCTGGAGGGAGAGTGGGCCTGAACTTCTGTTTTTTTAGCAAGTTCAGCCTTCTTATAAACTGCTATGAATAAGAAAACACAAAAAGCATACCATCAGGAAAAATCAAACACTTGGAGAAAACCGAACAAAATTTAATAAATAACTAGTTACCGCTGTTAGGCAGTTTCTTCTACAAAAAAAAAAGAGTAATAAGAAATTACTTCAAAAAACATTTTTAAAGAAGTGATTGTTAAATGAACCTTTTTTCCTTCTCACTTCATCTCTGGAGACTGTGCTAGGTTCCTTTTTAGCTATTTTTCTTTCAGGAGTGGAAATTCTGCCTCTCCCGGTTTTAAAAGGCTTTTCTTTTCTATGTTTCTCAAGAGATGATCTCCGAGCTTCCTTTTCAGCTTTCTCCTCTTTAGGAATAGTTTCTAACTGTTCTGTCATGATGCTCCTATCATCATCTGCGGATCAAAGCAAACCATGACAACAACAACAGTGAAAACATTAGTAACAAATGTACAAAATCCTGTGTCTATTTAACAAAATGCAAAATAAAGAGATAAAGGGACACGTTAAAATGAAAAAAAAAAAAATCCCATTAGGTTAGTGAATTTGATTTGGGAGTAGAAAATTAAAAAAAAAAAAAAAAAAAAAAAAAAAGCACACCTTGAGTGTCCACCCAGAGGCTGTCGGCATCTAAGATGGAGTCGTCGATGGTGGTCTCGTCTTTGTAATCATCATAGGTTTCTGTCTTATATTCTGAGAGTGCAACCTCTTCTCTCTCGGGGGAAGCTGGAGCCTCTGGGGAGCCATCCTTGGGTTCTGCCTGGGCTTCTGCTGCCTCTTCTACTTCAAGCTCTTCTTCTTCATGTGGGGATGGTCTCCTTTCCACTTCGGGCTGCTCTAGGGCTGCAAAACGCACACTGTGGGACCCTGACTCCCCTTCATCAGTTGTGGTTTGCACCACAGTGATGAAATCATCCTCGATGGTCACCACAGACTCAATCACTCCTTTGTGTTCACCTGGGCAGGTCTCCACAAATTCCTCCCTGACACCTGGGATACCCAGGTCAGTAATCTGAAGGGTGTCTGAACGGAAAAGCAGTTTATCGTATTCTCCTTGGGCTTCTATCTCTTCTTCCTCACTCTGAGTCTCTGCTGGTTCAGACACAACTGCTTCAAGCACTGGCTCTGTAACATCCGAGGGCGTGACAGATATATCTGGCGTTTCTTTGCTTTCCTCTGTAGGCAGCTGAATAAATTCCATCTGGACATCAGCTTTCTCATCTGTGGCTAAATCAGCCTCTGCAACAGCAGAGGAGCAAGGTATTTCCACTGATAATTTGATGGCAATCTCGTCTTGGATTAGAGAGGATTCTGGGGATGTTTCCTTCTTGCCCTCGTCAGGTTTCAGGGACTCCATGGTGAGGCTCTCATGCTCGCCACTGGATTCATAGGACTCCTCTTTGTCCACAGCCTCCTGGTGCACCAAGTCAGGCTTGGCTACCTTCTCTTTGACTTCTGTCTCACTAACCTTGACACTTTCTTTCGCATGGCCAGGCTCAACCCCCATAAACACATCTGCCTCCTGAGGTGCTTTGGATGAGGGGGTCAAGTCTTGCGTAGCCTCTAGTTTGAGTTCTGTTGCTTTTCCAGCATCTACATTTAGCCCTGAGGCCATCTGTCCAAAGTCACTGATTTTAACATCTAATGGCCCCTGGTCAGCTTTCTTTGCAGCAAAATCCAGTCCTTGTTCAGCTTTTTTGAGTGGTTCTACCTCACCCACTTCTGGGACTGAACTAAGACTTTTCTCTGCTTTCTCAGCATCTTTCGATTCTAATCCAAATGGTTCAACTTTATCAACAGCTTCTTCTATTTCCTTGGCCTGCTCTTTTGAATCAGCATGTTCTTCACTCTTCTCTAGTACAGTATCCAGCTTATCATTAACTTTCCTCTCCTGGTCAAACTCTCTTCCCAGGCCTGATTTGTCACCAGGTATATGTGGGGATGCTTCTTTCTCAGCACTGAACTCATCTTTGACTCTCCCAGCAGCTGCCAGCTTTACTTCAATCAACGAAAGGTCTGTGGCGAGATCTCTTCGAACTTTATCATCAGTGCCTTCATAAAAGGAGCCACTATCTCCTGATAAATTCTCACTGTCTTGAACAGGTGATGGGAGTGGGACGGTGTATTTATTGAACACACAGTAGCCCAGGTCTTCCAGCTGACTGTCTGTTTTCACAATAACATGGTTTTCATCAGTTACAGGGGGCAAGCCTGTACTACTCTCCTCGACCACAGTCTCTGATGGAATCGATTTCTTCCTAGCAACCTCAGCATCTGCGCCCACAGAAGCTAATCTTGACCTTGTGCCCGCCAGATCTAGCATTTCAGGCAGATCAGGGGCCATGACAGTTCCATTTTTGTAATAATCTTTGGCTAGGAAAGGAGACTCACACGATGTGTCGACTTGAGTATTTGGCTCACCAGTAGCTTTTTCTTCCTCTGTCTGTTCTTCTTCTTTGCTCTCTGCTGGGAAGCAAGGGGCTTTCTCCACTGCAGGGGTGGTGGCCGGAAGATAATCATCCCCTTCATCCATACTTCCACTAGTATTAGTCAGAATATCGGATGCCAGAGGAGAGAGATCATGCCCCCTACCGAAGTTAAATCCGAGGGCTATGGAATCCAGGCAGGACATGGGCAAATTGATTGACATGCTTCTTTGTTCTATAGCAGACCTGCCACCAAGTCCTAAACTCCTGCTGAGTGTCAGGTCATCCTTATTCTTACTGTGGAGGTCCCGTTTCTCCCCATACACTTTTGGATCAATAGTGAACATTCTTTCTTGAGGAGAACTGGGTTCTTCAGGTAAATCGGATGGATGACTCTGTGCAAGAGTGCTATACCCAGCTTCTTGTGCAGAAGCACTGGGCTGGGGTTCTTTTCCTGCTTCAAGTTCCTTGTCACCATTTTTATGGATGGGAGATATGGTATCAGTAGACTCCTGGGCACTTTCTCTTGTGTCACTCAGTTCGTAGTAATCACTGCCTGGCTGAATGCCTTCTGTCACTTCTTCTTTCAAGGCAGATGTTTCGAAGTACTTGGACATTCCTGATTTATCTTCATAAAATGGCATGTCGAGCTCAGATGATGTTGCAGCCCCACTCTTACTGTCTTGGTCAGCAACTGTTTCTTTGAAAAGTTCCTGGGTTGTACTCTTTTCACTTACAGCAGCTGGTTCAGCCATCACTTTCTCCAATGTCTTAGGGGTCGTCAGTGAATCTTGTTCCACACTTACAGGGCATGTGTCCTGTTTTACCATGTCTGTGGCAGATTCTTTGCCTTTCAGTTCTTCTTTCGAGAAAGTGTGCTCTGTGGAGGCCTGAAGGACACCTGTTTCTTGATCTGTTAGTTTTGAGGGTTCATTTTCTTTTGGCACAGCTTCTTTGTCAGAAATGATTGCTTTTTCTTCTAGCTTTAGTGGAGGTTCCTTTTCAGTAAGAGTAGTGTCCGGTTCACTAGGGGCAGAAGTCTCTTTTTTGTACATACTCTCTTGATTTATAGCCTCCTTTTCTTCCTCTAAATCTTGCTCTACAACATGTTTTCCCACAACTGGAATGTGAGCATCTTTGGGTAAAGTAAATGCCTCTGGGAATGGAGCTTCTGCCATTGTGTCAGATTTATCCTTTGGGGGCTCTTCGACTTTAGCACTATCTTTGGCAGTAGCTGGGCCACTGGTTTCTTGAAGAGATTTTTTGTCATCTGGCTGTAAGAGGGCAGGGGCAAAAGGTGATGGTTGTGTAAATATCTCATTCTTCATGATATCTAAAGGAAGAGTGAAGCTTCCACCTTGAAAGGGACTTGGCATAGGAGAATCAAATTGTTTTCCTTCCCATTTTGGGATATCATCAAGTACATCTTTTTCCCTCATGGGTGTCAGGGGGCCAGGAGATATTGGAGCAGCTAAACCCCATTCATCCTTTTTGGCTTCCACCGGCATTTCAATGAACCAGTCCTTTTGTTCCTTTGGAGCTGGAGCCTCCGCAGGGAGGTCAATGCCGGGCACTGCTGGGCTTGGTTCTGTCTTCTGTTTCACGTCTTCTACACTGGCACCAAGAGTGTGCCCAAACAGAGCAGGAGATACCTCTTCTTCTGTGTCTTGTGTGCCCTTTTTATCGAGTGAAGTTTTAGCTGTCTCTGGCTGAGAAACTAAGGCAGCATGTTTAAGGTCTTCACCAGGCTCACTTAGCTTCTCTGGCTCCTTTTCCTTCTTGTCTAAAGGCTCCGCTGTGGAGGAAGTCAATTCCTGCTGGTCACGGAACTCCATCTTCGAGGCTGTAAGTAAATCTGAAGTAATCGGGTTGATTTTTAAACGAATAATAGGCAAATGCTTTCAGGCAGTAAGCTTAAAATGGTATTTTGAAATGACTGATGAATGGCAGGGTAGAAAGAAAAGCTATGGAACATGCAAGCATGCTTCCGATTTAAAAGTCAATACGAAAATGTTCAGACTGAGATGTATGTATACTAGTGCTAACTAAACTACTATTACAAATGAATGTATACAGGAACGTATAGAAGAATATACTTCTGCATAGCTTATCTTTTTTGGTTTATTTGTTTGCTCTCTTCTAACATTATTTGATGTGTACTATAGCAGTAAAATATAGTGTACTTCTTGTAGATAAGAAGTATGAATTAATGAATATAGAGTAAATAGATAACATCAGAATGCAAAAATGTATCTTAAAGGCTACACATGAATAAAGCTTGATTTCTGCTGAACTTTTTAAAAATAGTTTTTCTTGTTTAAAAATGAATTGGCAAGCCATAGAGGAAGGCCAAGTGATTCATAATGACTTAAGTATTAATGATGTCAGTTAACTTAATCAAGACCCAGGACCAATTTTGGAGGTATTGAAAGGTTATTGGCATAAATTTTTAAAAGTCATATGAGATTAAATTTCTGAAATATAAGTAAATATTTGTTATCAATTTCATATGGTATAACCTAAAACTTGATAAGCCAATTTCTACTGCATATTCAAAATTCCCAGTTCCTAATGATTAGTCTATATGACAGATGTAAGAAAATTAGAATTATACCTTTAATACTGAGAAGTCATTTTCAAGAGTTAAGTGTTAAAATACCTTGCTCCTCACGGTCACGACATCATTTTCTGCACGTGACCAACTGGTGAAGCATTGACTAGTAATGGCTTTTTAGAGATGCGTCACAGAAATTAAACTACACATTTTTTATTTATTCATCAATTCAAAAAGCTTTAGGGTTCCACTTGTGTTTGAAGGCCAAGGGTGGCCTTTGTGGTCATTAAATTTAACTGTAGCTATCTGGAGAAAGTTGGGAAAATAATAAAGTTCAACTCTCTCGAAGAGTAAGTGTATGCATCACCATCACCTTCCATACTAGTGTGTCCTGTTGTAGTAATAGAACAGAAATACTTTATGAACTTCCATTAAAGGCTGGATGAATGAAAACTCAAGAGATATGGGGATGATCAAAGAGGTTAGCGGCCATGGAGAGAAAATAATATGAGAAGCATCAGCAAGAGCTTGTAAGAAAACCAAACCAGTATTCATTGAAGCATAAAGATATAGCACATTGCGGTTGCAAAACAATTCTCCCATTTAAGCTTCTAAGTGCCAAAATTCAACTGTACGATTTGAAAGAAAAGCATATGAATTGCTGTCCCGAAAATAAAAACAAAAATATACATGTATTAGCAATGTGACTGGCAAACATTTGAGATGACGGACAAAGAAAAAAAAAAAAAAAAGCTCACATAGCGTCATCAGCCTGGCTGCAAAGCGTATTGTATCATGGCAAAGGAAAACCAGGAATCAGCAGCAGCACTGGAAAACCAAGCTGCCACACAGCACCTGCGCAAGCCACATTTTGCTCCTTCAGCCTAAAACAGTAGTCTTATGATCATGAGAAGACCCAGCGATGAAACAGCATTGGGAAGGCATCAGGTAATAAGCTGCTGGAAATCATTGGCAACAAAACACATGCAAATCCTGAGAAAGACACACCTTCCCTGGCAGAGGAAGGGGTTTTTACTTCTGGAGACACCTCGTTGACCTCTTTTATACTTTTCTCATGCACGGCCCCTGTCTGGGCGCTCTCTTCTGGAACTATCTGGGCCTCTGCACTAGACTCCAGTTGGCCCTCACTGAGGCCCTTGGGCTGGTCTGAGGACTTAGCAGTCCCGCTTTCTTTCCCCGGAAGAGAGGCAGGTTTCTCTTCCTCGGCCATACAACCCTCTAGTGTTTCTTCTTCTTAAGGATGAAAAAGATGTTGACATCATGACCACAGAACAATACATGAAACGACAGAAATATTATTCAAGGAACACTTTCAGCTCCATTAGGATGCTCTCATGAGGACCTTAGGTGTTTTTTCTTTTACCATTTGGGTGAGCAAATTAATGTTCTAATGTAATGTACATTATGTACGCTTGGAAAATGAGGATGTATAATCTGCCTTTTAAAGTCTCATTAAAAGGCTATTTATTTTAAATTTTGAGAGCTGAAAGGGTTTTATTGACTGGTTGCCCTCAGTGGAAATGGCAGTCAGTTGCACGCATGTGGAAAGCTTGCTGGGAATACGAGGTGGTGCTGCTGGTAACAGATGGTTGCGAACAGATAGATGTATCAATGCACTGAACAAAACTTTCAAATTGGTTAGACATGTGCTGTTTTCTCCAATGCAGGAAGCCCCTACATAAGAATTCCTGATTGCTTTATTTAATTGATTTAGGTGAGTAACATTTTTAAAATTCCAATTTTAATGTGATATTTTGAAGCAATTTTTTATAATGGCATAGGTTGTGACTACAAAGAAAACAATTGTAACAAAGCTACTTTACCCATGTCACCTTATTGGATGAAGTCTAATCAAGTTAATTTACATGTTTTCAAATCTATGTAACTTTTTAAGTTTCTGTTTTCTAATTTTATACGGATCACCAAATTTATTTCCACTATACCTGTTCCTTATTTAAAAATGTTCATATTTTCCATAAATGTTTTACTTTCATGCTATTAAAAGAACTTAGTACTTAATATAAACTATGTTTCTTTATCAGAGTGTTTGAGTCATTGGTATTGTTTCAAAAGGACCTTTGAAGAAACTTATTATCATGGACATATTTGGTGAGCTGTGAGCTTATTCCTCATCACCTTGGAAATACTTACCCTCACATTAAACAATGTCCCATGTGAAATAAACTTTTCAGCAGACCCAATTGTTTTTCTCTATAGGAAAACAAGCCCTTCACCTAAGCAAAAATATTTCACCTGTACTTTTTTTTTTTCTTTACAAAACTATCTAATTAGTATTAGACAAATTGTAATCCAATGCCCACTTATTTTATCCTCATCATACCTAATTATACACTAGGGCCTCCCAGCTTTATGAGGCTAGAATGACAAAACTTCAAATAATCATCACTTTTGTCCAGTTCCACTGATGTGAACCAAGATCTAGTCAACTGGGAAGGCTCTGTAGTTTGTATAGATGATTAAGTCATATGGAGAAAAATTAATTGCATAACATTTATTTTCCTCAGATTATTTTGTCTTTCTCTCTTAAAGAATTGTTATATCAATATAACACTAAATTCTATTTAAGGCTCAGTCTAGTAGTCTTATGTATCCAAGGAGGGAAAAAATTATATTTAGGTTCATTTTCTTTGGTTTGGGTAAGAATATGTTTTTCCCTGACTGATTCATTGAAATGAAAAAGAAAGGAATTTTATTTTAATCAAACTTTTCTGTCTGTCTTGTTGTCTTTCTCTTCTGTTTTTGTTTCCTTCTTAAAAACAATGATATGGAAAAAGAAAAAGCTCACATGTCCCAAATAAGGCTTCTTTCACATAAATTGTTGAGACATTTTAATTACAAGAATCATTTATTTAATTTTATTTATTATTTTTTAACTTGACCAGAGAGACAGAGAGGGAGAGACAGAGAGGGAAAGTGAGAAAGCAAGCCTCCAGGTCCAGGACTCAAACCATGGATGGCCATGTGGAAGTCCAGTTCCTTAACTACCAGGCCATCTGCCAGCCCCTGTTGAGGCATTTTAAAGACTACAACCTATATAGGGACTTCACTTTCATGTGGACAAACAGGCTCCTGTCCCTCCCACCCCATGTGAAGGAAGGCACACTTAACATGATGCATGTGGCCAAAGCTGCAGCCTGGGGAGGAGGAGCAAAAGGGCACCATGCTTGGTTCACCTTTCTCCTGGCCTAAGTGGGCCTCTGCTCTCTGCGCTGTGACACTGGGGAGCTCACTAGAGGTAGTCCATTCTGAGCTGAACAAAGGATGCTCATAGTACTCCTCATCGGAATTGTAAGGGTCATCATCAGGCACAGACACCGAGATGGAGGGGGCTAGGAGTCTACGCTTCTCCCCGCTGCTGGTAGGTTCATGGCTGGGGAACCTGGGTAGCGGACCCACTTGATCCTCAGCCCCTTCATCTACAAATAGACACACAGGAAGAAACTGCAGGGAGAACTGGACAAGACAGACACAAGATCAGACAGACAAGACAAACACCTGCACAGGGACACAGGGGGCCACAGAAGCAGCACAGCAGGATGAAGGAGAGTTAGCAAGACCAAGCTGATGGAGCATGGAAGACAAAGATGTTTCATGCCTCAGGAGCTACTAAATGTAATCTGTCCCTTAAAACAATTCTGTCATTACTCTAAGTGAATCAAAAGCACTGGCATCCCTGCTGCAAATAGAAAACATCTATACATTCCTCTCAAACGAGTGAAAATAACCAAGGAAACATTGCAGTGCAAACAAAACATTTACAAAAACAAATGCATTCATTGGGAGAAATTCTTTCAAGGATATTAATTACTCTTATGCTTATCTCAACATGCTTATAAAGAAATAAAGTTGTTAGGATTCGAGGCCTATATGACCATGGAGAAAGAGTTCTGTGTGAAGCACAACCTTAATTACCTAGAATGCATAAATAGTTAGCATTTAGTTATTATTATTATTATTATTTTTTTTGGTTAATGACTTTAACCAGAAAGTTAACAACAACCAATAGTGCATTATTTCTCTTTCCTGCCTCAATAAGATAAAAACGGTCAGCATAGCTCTTTCTTTGGATGCTAAGGTTAATATATTGGGTTGTTGGGAAGGTCATGATGCATTTTTGCTTAGAAAAACATAGAAAAGTATGTCATGACTTTCACAACAACCTAATAATACCTAGAAGCAACATTTGAAACACTGGTTCTCGTTTGTGTGACTCTGCAACTAATTCTCTAAGAAAGTCTCTAATCAGATAAACATTTTTCTTATGTTTTACTTCTCTTTGGAAAATTTCATAGAAATACAATTAGCTGTGAATTTCTATAGAGTTGGCTTTAGATTCACCAAGATATTATGATGTAGTTTGAATTGTAACACTGGCTCTTGGCTGGGTTTATGTTTCAAACCTCTTATTGTATATTTCTTATTGCTAGGCTGTAAGAACTGTGCTCATTACTATAGTTTCTGTGACTTGGCTTGGAAATCAACATTATTTAAACGTATTTTCTTAAATACTCAACTGTAGATCAATCTGCTAAGCATTTGAATTCTTGCATAATTCAATGATCTTTAAAGACTGTGACAAGGAATACTCTCTGGCTTTGAGTGTTGGTGCAGACATTACATCTCAGGTCTCCTTGGCAGATTACCAAATCAGCCCATTACTAGACACTGACTGACACTGAGAAATAATTTAAAAATTCCATAACTCTAACCAATAAGAAAAAGTCTATAGTATTTATCTCTATCATTTTCATTTCTCTTAATATTTAAGCAGATAGAATTATAGTATTTTAAAAAGGCATTTAACTTTTAGGAGAATAACTTAATTTCAGCAACCAAGTGCTGACAACTGGAACTAGGGCTGAAATCATAAGGATACTAAAATAATGTTTTGTGGAGAGGATGCTTTTAATATTTTGAGCACATTATTTACTGACTGTTCCACAGAAGTTGTTTCTGGATGGATACTCAGAACTTTTCTCAGCCATGACGCTTTTTATATCATGGAATAGCAGAAGCCTGAAATAAATTTGATATTTTTAGTTCAACGCAGCACGATTTCTCAACTGAGGAGATAACCATCCAAGATCTGGCCTACAACACTGACTGAATTATAGCCCTGGCTTGTCACATGTCTCAGCCATTCATATTTCCCTTAGTGACTCTCTAAGGCTGTAAATTCCTCCTGTATGCACGTTACATCTAAAACTTTTAATATGTTCAACAGATGGCATGAACAGTCAGTAAGTGAAAATGAGATATTCACTTCTCTGCTTTTCCACATTTTATTTTTGGAGAGGTAGAACAAACTACCATATAAAACTAAAGAATTTAAATTGCAGAGGTGGCAGTTTAAAGGCAATACTCAATGAATGTTTTAACCTTTGGAAGGTTTTAGCTTCTTTCTTCTCGTTGTTGTTTTTTAAAGTGCCAAAAGTAAACACAGAGCCTTGCTTAAGGTCTATAACTTTTCTAAAGAACTAGGAGTTCCTATTTTGAAAACTTTCATTCTCATCAGAGTACAACAAAAACTTTTAAGAGCTCCTGTGAAAAGCAGATTCCCCAGAGTATTTGTCTGGTCCTGAGCCAAGGCAACTTCAAAAAGAAAGTCTGGAAAAGAGCAGTCTTCTTTTGGTATTCTGAGCTGAATACACTCCAGGTCTCCATGAGCTTCCTGTGAATCTAAAGTCCATCTACGTTACAAGCTCCAGAGGTAAGTCAGGGAAGCTGGACTTACAAAGAACCATAGCCACTAAATCTGAACCGTGTTCTTAGTTCCAGGGATAATGACAGAAGACACTGCATCCTCATTTATACAGAGTTGCATGTGGGGAGCACTTTTGGGAAATACCCAATAGAGATGGGATACATAATAATTCAAATTAAATACATTATAACTAAATGGATTATTCATTTGTGTGTGGTTTTCAAAAAAGGAAACTATTACAGTATAGTAGCTTGTAACAAAGGACTCTCATTTGAGGAACATTTATTTTTGTAGTCCCACAGTAAGAACTCTGATAAAAGACAACTTTAGAGATGTGTAACTGTGGTTGCAGGAGGGTAGAAAGCTGAAAATGAATACTATCTATCTCTACAGGTTGCTGGAAGGATTAAATGAGAAGATATCTTGAGTGTCAAGCACAATGCCCAACTCCATACGTGCCATCACATCTGTCTACTCAGGAAGTTATCCAGTACCTTTGCTCTTTATCTTCAGTTGATATATCAAAATAGGAGAGATTTATGAAAAATCAAATTCATTTCATAAAATATTTACTATTTAAGTCAGAATTGAATGGATGTATCATTTTTCTAGAATTAGGCAGATTTGGGGGGACTGGACTCTGTTTTTGCCAGAAAATATTCCAGTTCATTTAATAATGTATGATATATCAAAGGACAGGGTAACTTTATGAACCTTGGACTTTTACACAGTTGTTCTGCACAGCTATAATATTCCAAATGAAGCTTACCTGACTTCAAAGGAGGAATTAATTTTCCCTGGTTGGCTTTCATTCCAACATTTTCCAACTTTTTGTTTTTTAAAGCATTCAAGATTTACATGGGGTTACAGTAATGTATGCCAAGCAAACTCCAGCCTTGAAATGTCAACCCCCTTTGGTACAAATGAACAGTCTCTTTTATGAGAGACTCCATCTTGTGAGGCATCAGTGACTCAGTGGTATTTGTCTGTTATGGTATCAGCTTCTGCCCCATGGCATATGGATGAAGGCAACTTTGGCCCCACTTACATTGTTTGCCACCATTTCTAAGCCTTTCCCATTCTGCCAGCTTTCAACTGAGGATACCTCGGTTTGTTGACTGTATTGCCGCCCCAGGATGACATAGAAGAAAACTTTTAGATGAACAATTATTATGCCAGCACATCCATGACATGGGAAATGCGATCCGAGAATTCTGGAGCCAACCTGAGAGAGCAGAGTGAGTCCTGGTTCTGTTTTCAGATGATGTCATTGTACTTGTATGGGATTCCAAATTCTAAAGCTCAGCCCAAATAACAACTATTAAGTTAGGCCAAGAAGAAAAGGAGATTAGTTTTAAAACATTGTAGCTCGTACAGTATTGGTTACTGTACCATGGTTCCCTTTCTAAGTATTGCTACTTTAATTTTTTTCATCAAAATCTCTTGTAAATATTTCCTTGAATAAACACGTATTCTGGGAATGATTAATTTTACATTAATGGTAAGAAGTGAATATTCATAAATGATAGTAATTAACATCTTAGGTTATTTTAATGAAAGCTTTCATGTTTCTCCCTTTGGGAAAGAACAGCTTTAAAAATGTCTGATAATTAATAAAAAGTGTATCTTCAAAAATCACTGAAGTACTCAATTTAGCCTAAGAGCTCTCTTCCATTTCTATAAAAAAAAAATCAGACTGTGGCAGTTGCTTTGCCCTTACATTAAAGTTGTCTCGAGGATAAATAATCCCCTAGACACGAAATTCACCTGTTCCTTTTCCGTCCCACCTGCTATAAGCAATACATTTCTGGAATCTGGGATAGGTCTTTATAAACTAATCATTCTGAAAAATTGAGCAGTTCAGTCTTATCTTGGGACTTGTCACTAGCTTATTATGTGACAAAAATTAACTTTAAAAAATACTGTATGTTGTATGTAATTTAAGTATAGTTTAAAATAAGAGGGGCAGTATTTTGATGGTCAGGACCACAACTTTTTTTTTTTTTTTTTTGGAGAAGTTTTTGCTATAGGGCACGTGTGCTCGCCAGACAGAGAGAGAGAGAGAGAGAGACAGAGAGATAGAAAGCGAAAAATCACCCCCCCAGGGGGGATGGCCACGCTGCAACCCCTTCTCCTCCATTCTCCTCTCGGGATCTTGGGCACGCACACACACGTGCACGGTGTGAGTTTAAGCCAACGGGTCCGGGACGCGAACCGCGGTCGACTACATGGGAGTCCAGCAACATAGCCATTACGCTAACTGCTGGTCTCAGGGCCACAAATTTTTTTCACATATTTGAAGTAAGAATATTGACCTTTTTTTGAGAGAGAATATTGTCTCTAATAGAATTTATATATATATAAATATATATATATATATATATTATATATAAGTATATATCACATCTGTGTGTACACAGACATATGTTATATATACTTACATGTAATATACATAACATAGTCTATAATAAACTGTATATAGTTTATATAATAGATAATTTATATATTTCAAGGATGATGATCATTTTTACATAGTACTTCATTAGGCTTTCATATAGTTTAATGCCTTTTGAAAAAATAAAAGTGCAAGTAAGCTAGCATTTTCTCTCAATTACATTGAAACGGCTTGGAGAATGCAGTTCCTAAGTTACTAAAATGTGCAAGTCATCCTATATTTTATTTATGTATATTTTCACTACATCTATTACATGATCCTGCAGAAAGCAGGTTAGATAAATGTCCAGATAAACAGGAGAACTGACTTCTCATCCTTCTGCTTCAACTCTCATAGAAAGTAAGAAGAGTAAATGACTTGACCTCAAGCAGACTTCCAGAGCAGGCCAGCTCTGTCAACAACTTATCCCTCTGTGGGTTAAGAGGATTCTCTGACACTTGAAAGGCTTTAAGTAGGGACTTAGGAACGTTTTCAATGACCCGAGGGAAGACAACTGTCATGTAAAGTTTTCCACTGCATTTGGAGTGAAATCTAGCTCCTGACCTAACCGGCTGCTGCTTGTGCTTAGACTCCTTCACTGCTCTATCGTTCTCACTTCCCAGGAACCAGACTCCACTAAGTTCTAGATCACTTCACCCTCTTGCCTAGCTGAGTGTCTTTGTACAGCCGGGTCCCTGTGCCACCATTTTTCAATTCTTCTTATGCTTCTGGGTTCACCTCCTTAACCCATCTTTCCACAGGTTTCCCTATTGTTCACCTTAAAGCTTCCTGCTCTTTTTTTCCCTAAAGGTAGGGCCACGTGGGATGGTCTGTAAGCTTATCTACTGGACTTCTGTTTTGTACCAGATGGTGTGCTCCTTAAAGGTAGGAACCACATCTGTTTTGTTTACTCATGTGTACCCCAAATTTGAAGAGTATCTGGAACATTGTCAGTGTTCAGTAAGTATGTGCCAGTTGAGTGGATAAACCCAAGTCCAAAATCAATCTTTCAAACCTATAAAGTAAAAGATTAAATCACATTGTAAGGAAATTAACTAATAATCAGTGGCTCGTATACACTGATCACATTTCTCAAACTTTTATTCCTTAGAGTAATTTGTTTAGCATTAGTTTCTGTAGAAAATTAGGACAAGAATTCTCATTTTAAGAAAACAATGCCTTGCTAAAAAGAGTTTAGGTTTATAAAGCAGTGGCCAAATAAACTATATTTGAGTTGATAGCATATAGTTCAGTAATTTAGTTTTTTTGCCTTTAGGAAATGAAAGAATATTTACATAAACTTCATTACGAATTATGAAAGTGTAGTCTTTTATGATTAGTGTTATTCTGTTTTTAAAGTAGTAAAATGTTCTCTGAAGTGAAAACACAAGAAAAATAATTTAAGAAATAATAAACTGGGATAGTCTTAAAATTCTGGTTTCTATATGAACACTAAGTTACATTGAAACAACTGGGCTGTGGCTGTCTTCTGCCTTTTCCTGTAATCCTCACACAATACACAGAAGTTAACTGATCTAATCAGAGAACCAATAATGGTTTGCTTTTAAAGAGTGCCTTTCATGTCAGATTCTGAATGAATATTCTTCAAAGGCAAACCTCTGTTTTATCAAGGAGCACTGAAAAGCTGAGCTGGCGTTCCTTGTCGAGTAAACGCGTCAATAGATTCACGGACAATAACAGGTCTCAGCAGGCAAGGGGCCATGATCTCAACTTCCAGTTCACTGTTCGCAATATCAGGTTCATTCATTAACTTCTTCACTTATTCATGAATATGTATTGAGAGTTTGTTATGGCTCAGGCCCTGAGGAAAGTCTTGGTGATATAATGGGAAGCAAAACAGAAAGAAGTCCTGACCACGGTCATACGGAAGTCTTCATTTCGTTAATAAACCTGACTTCTGCTCTACAGGGCATTACATTTATTTTTATATTTGTTTTTGTTCAGTCACAAGTTGGGTCTGTATCTTCTTTGTCAAAGCATTCTACTTATGTAAAGGGTTCTCTATAGTTATTCTAGCAACTGAAATATAAAGTTATCTTTTCTTTTACCAAACAAATTTTTCCCTTTTCCATTTACCACATTCTTCTGCTTCTGATTTTATACATCGAGGATTACATAGATATTCAAAGTCTTTGTTTCTTGCCTATTCGAAACAGCTCCAAAGCTAAGTCACATTCTGGCACACACTGAAGTGCTTATGGATTGAAGTGTGTTATTTACCTTTAATCAGAAGACAGACCCTGACAAGTCCAGTAGGCCTTACCTTCCTCCACTGCCACAGTCTGTTCTGAGGCTGGCGATGGGGGTGGAGAAGGAGGCAGATTAGCTGTCTCTTCAGCTGCTAAAGATCAAACAATGGAAAATGAGATGCAACAATTAATCCTATTAGACCAGTAGATGCATAGGTAATTCTGCCATCTGTAAAAAAGGCCTGTCTATTGAATTCAAGGAAAAACTTCAATAGTAAGTTGCATTAGACTTATTTTTAAGCCCATTACCTGATTTATACATTTTTGAAAACCTAAAAAGTATAACAAGTTGATTTTCCTTCCCCCCCAAATTTTCTTTTCTTTTTCATAAAAGTGTATTAGAGATGCCTGCTAAAATTTGACTGCTAATCTCATTAATTCTGTCCACTTGTTCAATTAATAAGATATTTCATTCTGGCCCTAATTTACCATGTGCAGACACACGGAGACAACCATTTTCCTTTGAGTTTTGTTAGACTGACTAGAAAAACATATTAAGACTCTCCATTCAGCTGCTCATTTTAGAAACAAATCCTACGTTGATCATTCCATTTTTTTAAGTGACATACTTTTTAAACAATATCTTGTTTTCTGAATCCAATGTCAAAATCCATCTTCTGTGTTTATTCTCAGACAAAATAAATAAATAAATCTGTTCCAGTCCGAGGCCACCTTCAGACAAACCATTACTAGTGGGAGCTGGGAGGTGAGTAACCTCTGATGTTGGCACTTCACATGAAGGATCAGAGAGGAAAGTTCTAAAGCTATAATTCATTCACAAATTAACACTAAGGTTTCCTCTTCAAGACACTTACCTTCTTCATAATCCCTCATAAGAAGGTGAAGAATTTCAAAAGGAAATATTTCTCACTTAAGGCCAGTGATTAAATGAATTTTAAAGATGATATGAATTTCAGTTTCATAAAGCGGTTAATAGAGGCAGCTTTGGGATAACAGCTGATTTTTTTTAGTTCATTGACCTGTGGAATTCAGAGTAGAATATGTTAAAATTTTAAATGAAAAATAATTGAGGGCCAGCCTGTGGACTGATGGTTGGGGCAGCTGAATCCCACATGGCTGACTAAGTCACGAAGACCCAGAGACTTGAAAAAACACACCAAATGCATGTGCAAGTGTGCCCACGATCTTGAGGGGAGGGCGAAATCAGAAGGGATTGCAGTGTGACCATGCTTCATGGGAGGTGCTTTTTCTGTCTCTTCCTAGTGAATGCACACACCCTCTAGCAAAATTAAAAATATTCATAATAACAATAATTGAGTTTTCTTTTATTTCAAAACCAGAAGTGACCAGTAGACTGAAGTTTAGTATTTTAGATTGGATTATAGCATCCTAATCTGTTTTTAGAGAAAAACAGTTCTTAAACAATGAAAACCCTCAAATACTAACTATATTCTAAATTAGTATTCTGGCAGGGCAGACTATTTTTATGGCTTACTTCTAATAGATAATTAAAGGACAATTACTAATCAGAAAATCAAGTATTAATACCATATTAGATTGTTAGAGAAGAAAATAGACATGTATTGTTTTTGGACCTTAAAAGCCATATCTTTCAATGGATCAGTTATTTGTGTCAGAGAAATAAACATGTATGTTGAACCTGAGTCTCCTTTCTTGTATCTCTGCAATGTATACATGTATACCTATTTGCCTATATATCTATCTGCGATCTATTTATCTAGTTGGGGTAGCAGACCTTTAACTGAGAGTGTTTTCCTCAGTAAGCATGACATTATTTGTCTAGCCCTGGAGGGCATCTGTCTAGTGTTGGAAGAGAGGGCAGGGCTATTCCAGTGCCCTTGGATGGACCAAATAAGGGTCAGTACCTCTAAGGGCTCCAAAGTCACTAATGATTCTAACAAAGCTCTGGCTACAGGTTTGGTGCAGCCAGTTTAGGGAGATCCATACAAGACCATGGTATAGATAATAATTCAAAAAACCCCCAAAAGCAAAACAATCACCTCTAATGAGTATTTAAACATTTTGCTTATATGTGGGGGAAGGGGGGGGTCACAAAATCTAATGCTTTGGCTTTATTTTTATTTTTCTAGTGGTCCGAGAAAATGAAAAATTAATGGTTGCTTAAGGAAAAAAGACTAAATATAAGCTTATCACGCCAAAGACTACTCACATACCATAACGAACATGTTAGGAAAAGTGAAAATAGATCCTAACATATCTCAGTGGAGGTGTTTTGATGACTGTTAATGTAAAAATGAAGTACAAGGTGTGGCCCCTCTTTTGAACATGAAGGTTTTCGCCTGTGATCAGCGTGCAGCAGACACGGCTTCTGACCTGAGGCTCTTTTCATTTACCTAAAGGCAGAGCTGCGGGCTGGTCTTTGTGTTGAGCTTCTTTTTCTTGTTCACCTTTCAGGACTGCTACAGCTTCAGCCGTGACTACTTGAACTATCCTTGCAGACACCTCCTCTGTAATAAACAGTAAAAAAAGAAAATATCATGATGAGAAGCTGAAAGCAGGTCGCCAAGAGGAAAAGTAATCTAACAATGTAGTGGATTATGATTTAATTTTCATTATATTCTTTTGAATGAGTACAGTCTAATTTTTTTCTTCTTTTTTCCCCCTACAGATAGAACACAAACATGCATAAAAAAAAAAGCATGGGAATGGAATTCAGGGACCAAAACAAAATGAACACAGAATTGAAGAAAAAGAGTTACTTAATTTGCATGGCACTTTATTTTTAAAAAGCTATTTACACAATTTCATTTCTTTGTACCTCATAAAATAAATTCAAAGACAGAAGATAGGATTCATTTTGGATTATGTTACTCGAATAAATTTCTATGCTAAGTTACAGAAATACATGATTTAAAATGAAAAAAAAAAGCCTCAAAATATATATCTGTGATTAAATGGCATTATCCAGGATCAATGTAAAAAATGTGAATTATGAAATACCTAGAAAGTTAAAATTTTAATAAAATGGAAGTGCAATAATTTTAATTAAAAAGGGATGGGCAATTCTCACTGAAAATATCAGATGAAAGATGCTGGATAGCTAGTTTATGGCCCAAAATGGCTTAATTGGCTATCAATGCCAATTTTTGTAGCACAGAAAACAATTAAGGAACTGATGCTCTACAGATCATCAACTAAAAAATGAAAGTAGGCTTTTGAGATTAAAATGTAATCTAGATTAGGTTAAGGTAGAAATACATTCTAATTGGATTAGACATACACTCTACAGAGTTTAAATTATCCCCATCTTTATATAAAAGCATCTACAAAACTAGGAAACAAGCCTCACAGAAACAAGGTGTACTAGATTAGAGGGGGGTGTCACAATTTGTTTCTATAATTTGGTCAAGATAGAATAAATGTATTATGGCTTATGATCAGAATACGCACATTCGCAAATAGGTTTGGGGACATCTATCTGTTTTCACCTGGCTGGCACATTTAGATTTCATCTCGTCTAGAAAGCGTTCCTTTACCCCACACAAGATGATAGAGTCCAGTGACCTCAGGCTTAAAGGGTCAGGGATCCACTTGGACAGATTTTATCTAGATTTTAAAAGCTAGAATACTCAATTGCATATATGAGCTTTAATATGTTTAATGTCCTGATTTATTTATTTATTTATTTATTTGCTTCCTATGATAGAGGTAGGGAGAATCTTCATCTTGCAGATCTCTCCCCAGCCTTGCGGCTAGCCAGGATCACAGGTGCACTCACAGGCATGCCCTGAATGAAAAGGTAGACCTAAGAGGAGAACTTGGAGACTTCGCACATAATCTCTGGCATTGTGCAGCAGCACCCCTACTACCTATGCCTCACAGCTGAGCCTGGATTTTATTTGGGAGGGGAGCACAGCCCATTTGACTCTATTCCTTTATTTATTTATTTTTTAGAGTTTTGCCATAGGATGTGTGCACTTGCCAGAGAAACACAGAGACAGGAAGAGAGGTAAAGTGAGAAATCACCCTTCAAGGTGGATGACCATGCTGCAATCCTTTTTCATTTTCTTCTTGGGATATTGGGCACACATGTCTTGTGTGTTTTTCAAGCTGCTGGGTCCGGGACTTGAACTGTGGAGTCAACCATGTGGGATCCATCCAGCATTGTTTTTTTTTTTTTTTGGAGAGGATTTTTTTTTTCCGCTATAGGCTGCGGGTGCTCGCCCGACA